TCCCTGCTGCACAGGTGGTCCTTTCTCAGGGAACTGCTGAAGTTGAATGACCCTCTTTTCTAGTAACTCTGCCTGTAGGAAGGCCCCTTCCCACTGGGCCCCCTCCCAGGATCTTGTATCTCAGCCTCTCACTTCATCTTTCACTCGAACTCTCCTGCTGCTGCTGAGCATGCTCAGTCACACTTAAAGGCTGCCCTAGCCTCACGCCAAGCCTCCTGCTTGGGGATTGGTCAGAGTCCTTTAAGTGTGCAAGCCAGCCCCTCCTCACCCCCTCATCTTTTCCACATTTCTAGAGCAGGGGGAGGTGTCAAGAAACTGACCTGCAGATCCCTCAGCCCTGAACTAAATATGACCTACTGTCTCGTGGCCAGGCTGCTACTCAGCCTTTCCATCTAAAAAATTGATAATTAGCTCCCCCTGGCTATCTAGAGGGGCGCTACATATAAAAGAATCCCATTATTAGTTTACCTTCCTAAACAGGCATATTTACTAAAAACAATTAGACAATAGGTCCAATATGTGTTTGGACCAAAGCCACAGAGGGAAATAAAAAGGAGCCAGGGCAATACAAGGTGGAGTAAATATGCAGGAGGACTTTGTGGCTGCCCTCCCCTTTCCTCTGGATGGAAGCAAATGTATGAATGGACCACCATCTTTATATGGAGGATCTACATGTACATTTATTCCCACAGCAACGGTGAGCTCTTGATTTTAGATCCTCACAGACATAGAGTACACCTTGTAAGAAGGGTTTTGCAATTGGCCAGTAAGAGCACCAGGAGCACATTCCTTGCCCCACTCCTGTCCTTTTGTTAGAACATTATCCATCCTGCTGATGCTGAACCCTCCCCTATATTGTGCCCCACTCCATGCCAGAGGCCTCCACATGACATTCCCAGCCATTGACCTTTAAATCCCAAAGAATGAATGTCCACACATGTTGCTGGGCTTTACTGAAGGTACTCTGTTTGAGCTGAAGACCACACTAGACTGAGTAGATCAGTCACTGGTCATAGGTGGGTAGTTGGATAGGGAGATATCCCTCCAGTTGGTTGTTTCCAATGGTGGATACTGTTGGTAAACCCTCTTGGGGTTTGGGTTGCTGCCTTTCTGGTATGGCCTTAAGGTCGTTTCCACACCTAGACTTGGAATAGTAGGAAAGAAGGAGCACCCAATGTCCAAAAGAATGTACTTTTGATGGTAGAATAAAAGGCATTTATTGAGAATATTGACAAGTACATCAAACCAACTCGTTCTGGGAGGCAAGACTCTCCCTTCTTCAGGGCTGTTGCAGCATGCTGTTCTATGGGAAAAATGTACACATCGGTTTTATATTTTCCAGGTTTCGGAAGAAAAACTGACAGAGTGGCACCTCTCATTCCAGGGGCAAGAACATTGCATTGGCTTGAAATGCGTTGGTTTGATGTACATGTTGATATTCTCAATAAATGCCTCTTAATGTACCGTCAAAAGTGCATTGTTTTAGACATTGGGCACTCCTTCTTTCCTATTATTCCAAGTCTACATAATGGTACTCAGGGAATGGTATAACAGGCACATCACATTGACAACAATCCGGAGTCACTTGACAATACATAGTCAATCAAATTTAGTGGACGATCCACAGCAGTCACATGTGAAAGCATATGCAGCACTTTAAGCAGCCACCTCCCTCTAACAGTCTCTCCTTCCACCTGGGATCAATAGTACTCACAGGAATGAGACCATAGGTCCACCCCCCCACCAGGGACCATCCAGGAGAAAGGCCTTTTTCAATGCACCCTTGCCCCCATCTCTGATAAAAGAGGAGAATCTGATGGAGATACTTATATAGGTGAGGACTCGGATGGGGTCACTGATGTAAGTGGGGGCTCTGATGGGGACACTGATGTATGGTGGGGCTCTGATGGGGACACTGATGTGAGTGAGGACTCTGATGGGGACACTGATGTATGGTGGGGCTCTGATGGGGACACTGATGTGAGTGAGGACTCTGATGGGGACACTGATGTACAGTGAGGCTCTGATGGGGACACTGATGTACAGTGGGGCTCTTATGGGGACTCTGATGTAAGTGAGGACTCTGATGGGGACACTGATGTACAGTGGGGCTCTTATGGGGACACTGATGTAAGTGAGGACACTTATGGGGACACTGATGTACAGTGGGGCTCTTATGGGGACACTGATGTACAGTGGGGCTCTTATGGGGACACTGATGTAAGTGAGGACACTGATGGGAACACTGATGTACAGTGGGGCTCTTATCTGGACACTGATGTAAGTGAGGACACTTATGGAGACACTGATGTACAGTGGGGCTCTTATGGGGCACTGATGTAAGTGAGGACTCTAATGGGGACATTGATGTACAGTGGGGCTCTGATGGTGACACTGATGTACGTGAGGATTCTAATGGGGACACTGATGTACAGTGGGGCTCTGATGGGGACACTGATGTAAGTGAGGACACTTATGGGGACACTGATGTACAGTGGGGCTCTTATGGGGACACTGATGTAAGTGAGGACACTTATGGGGACACTGATGTACAGTGGGGCTCTTATGGGGACACTGATGAAAGTGAGGACTCTGATGGGGACACTGATGTATGGTGAGGATCTGATATGGACACTGATGTAAGTGAGGACTCTGATGGGGACATTGATGTACAGTGGGGCTCTGATGGTGACACTGATGTACGTGAGGATTCTAATGGTGACACTGATGTACATGAGGACTCTAATGGGGACACTGATGTACAGTGGGGCTCTGATGGGGATGATGATGAAATGGGAACCCTGATATAAGGGAGGAATCTGATGGAGACTCTGATGTAAGTGAGTACTCGGATAAGGACACTGATGTAAGTGGGATCCATCAGGTTCCCCTTCAGAGGCCCCACTTACATCAGAATCCCCACTAGAGTGCCTCCTTACATCAGTATCCAGTCAAAGTGCCTGCAACTCCTAAAAGATGTGGCTTAGGGGCAGGGGCGGACTGACCATTTGGAAACCCGGGCACTGCCCGAGGGCCCAGGGTCAGTAGGGGGCCCCATGAGATGCCCCTGGTACCTTTTTCATAGGCTTTTTGAGTTTGGGCAAGGACACAGGGGCCCCATGATCCCCTATTGCCAGGGGGCCCCATGAGTTGTCAGTCCACCCCTGCTTAGGGGTACTGGTCACATGAAGATGATGAAGCTCAAAATTACTATTTAATGTCACCCTAGGCTAAAAAGAAACCGAGCATCTAACCCTTGTAGTGCCGGTGGTGCTCCACTGCAAATGTATTTTCGAAATGTCCCAGAAATTAAGCTTTAAAAGTAATTAAAACAACTTTTGAAATAGAGTACATTAAATTATTAGAGTTTGCCTATGATTTAGTGGATAGGCTTTACATCTACTTGAAGTTACATCCTGTAATAACAACCCAAAATGTTCTCAACGCCTTTCCTTTAATGGTCTCCACGTTTTGTAAGGCCTCCCTGACCATTAGGTCTAGGTCTTTGATTCTCTGAATCCCCCTCCCTGCTTTCTATTCCCCGTCTCTCTGCTTCGTGATCAATAGTGGAATTTGGAGCACATTAATACCGTTCCATCATTCTGTAAGTGGAGTGCATTACCCTGACCACAAAAACACTGGACATAGGACAGTGCGGAGGAGAAGATGGTCCACCCTTTCACTGCTCCTCTACTAATCTACTGTGTTTAAAAAGGAAAGGAATCATGTCCCTGGAGGGTGATAATAATAAAATTAATATGTTTTAACTTGCAGAAGCCTTTAAGTCCATTTGCGTCCAGATTTTGCCTTATTCAGCGAAAACCACATTAGAAATGGTGCTTCGGGATGGAGATGGTTTGGGGATGACTCTCCCATTTTAAAGGGAATCACCACTTTTAGCAATAATTTTACAACTGGGATCATTTTATCTTAAAACCTCGGGGATTTACAAAAAAAAAAATATCCTGCTATCTTCCATTATTTATTATGTCACAGTTTATGTTGCCTTAAATCTTAGTTCCAGGTATGAATTTTATAGAATAGTTTTGTGGCTGTAGTTTGGATCAATGTAAGCATGCATATGCTATACCTGTGAGAATCTTGTCGAAGATAGAAATTGAAGAACCCTTTCCGTGTTTGGAGATTAAATTTATTTTCCTTCAGATGTAAAGAGCGCCCCCTTGTCCTCTGTGATGACCTCAGGGGAAATAACTGTACACAGAGTTCACTATATGAACCACTGATGTATCCCCCCTCATATCCCCCCCTTATGTATTATACATGGAGCTCATATCCCCCCTTATGTATTATACATGGAGCTCATATCCCCCCCTTATGTATTATACATGGAGATCATATCCCCCCTTATGTATTATACATGGAGATCATATCCCCCCCTTATGTATTATACATGGAGCTCATATCCCCCCTTATGTATTATACATGGAGATCATATCCCCCTTATGTATTATACATGGAGATCATATCCCTCCTTATGTATTATACATAGTGATCATATCCCCCCTTATGTATTATATATGGTGATCATATCCCCCCTTATGTATTATACATGGAGATCATATCCCCCTTATGTATTATACATGGTGATCATATCCCCCCTTATGTATTATACATGGTGATCATATCCCCCCTTATGTATTATACATGGTGATCATATCCCCCCTTATGTATTATACATGGAGATCATATCCCCCCTTATGTATTATACATGGTGATCATATCCCCCCCTTATGTATTATACATGGAGATCATATCCCCCTTATGTATTATACATGGAGATCATATCCCCCCCCCTTATGTATTATACATGGAGATCATATCCCCCTTATGTATTATACATGGAGATTAGAGATGAGCAAAGTATTCAAAAATTCGATTCGGCTGATTCGGCGAATTCGCGGAATAAATTCGATTCGAGTCGAATATATTCGCTGAGAATTTAACTTATAAAAAGGGTGTTTCTAGGTTTCAGAGAGCCTTTATATTAGTGCAGAACACTGTACCTTTAATTTAAATGCCCTTGGAGTCTGCTGGGGAAGAGAAATAATACTGTCAGTCAGTATGACATGCAGATGAGTGCCGTCGATCTTAGAATCACCGCACACTTCACTCATTTGGGCAGTCACGGGGCCAAAACCAGAGTGTGGAGCCACAGTGTGGCGGTGGAGGCAGCAGCAATGGGAGGCCATACAGCACCCTATGACAAAATGGAACCCACCAGCAGGAGTGTGAGGAGACCTGAAAGTGGCACATGGCACAGTGTGGCGATGGAGACAGCAGCAATGGGAGGCCGTACAGGGACCCATGAGACACTCTGGACCTGGCAGCAGCATGAGGAGGCGGTACAGGGGCCCATGACAGATTACGGGCCTGGCAGCAGCAATGGGAGGCCCGTAATCTGCCAGCACCCTATGACAAAATGGAACCCACCAGCAGTGTGAGGAGACCTGAAAGTGGCACATGGCAGAGTGTGGCGATGGAGACAGCAGCAATGGGAGGCCGTACAGGGACCCATGACAGATTACGGGCCTGGCAGCAGCATGAGGAGGCGGTACAGGGGCCCATGACAGATTACGGGCCTGGCAGCAGCAATGGGAGGCCCGTAATCTGCCAGCACCCTATGACGAAATGGAACCCACCAGCAGTGTGAGGAGACCTGAAAGTGGCACATGGCAGAGTGTGGCGATGGAGACAGCAGCAATGGGAGGCCGTTCAGGGACCCATTACAGGCCTGGGCAGCAGCATGAGGAGGCGGTACGGGGGCCCATGGCAGATTACGGGCCTGGAAGCAGCAATGGGAGGCCCGTAATCTGCCAGCACCCTATGACAAAATGGAACCCACCAGCAGTGTGAGGAGACCTGAAAGTGGCACATGGCACAGTGTGGGCGATGGAGACAGCAGCAATGGGAGGCCGTACAAGGACCCATGAGACACTCTGGACCTGGCAGCAGCATGAGGAGGCGGTACGGGGCCCATGGCAGATTACAGGCCTGGCAGCAGCAATGGGAGGCCCGTAATCTGCCAGCACCCTATGACAAAATGGAACCCACCAGCAGTGTGAGGAGACCTGAAAGTGGCACATGGCACAGTGTGGCGATGGAGACAGCAGCAATGGGAGGCCGTACAGGGACCCATGAGACACTCTGGACCTGGCAGCAGCATGAGGAGGCGGTACGGGGGCCCCATGGCAGATTACGGGCCTGGCAGCAGCAATGGGAGGCCCCGTAATCTGCCAGCACCCTATGACAAAATGGAACCCACAAGCAGTGTGAGGAGAGACCTGAAAGTGGCACATGGCACAGTGTGGCGATGGAGACAGCAGCAATGGGAGGCCGTACAGGGACCCATGACACACTCTGGACCTGGCAGCAGCATGAGGAGGCGGTACAGGGGCCCATGACAGATTTACGGGCCTGGCAGCAGCAATGGGAGGCCCGTAATCTGCCAGCACCCTATGACAAAATGGAACCCACCAGCAGTGTGAGGAGACCTGAAAGTGGCACATGGCACAGTGTGGCGATGGAGACAGCAGCAATGGGAGGCCGTACAGGGACCCATGACAGATTACGGGCCTGGCAGCAGCATGAGGAGGCGGTACAGGGGCCCATGACAGATTACGGGCCTGGCAGCAGCAATGGGAGGCCCGTAATCTGCCAGCACCCTATGACAAAATGGAACCCACCAGCAGTGTGAGGAGACCTGAAAGTGGCACATGGCAGAGTGTGGCGATGGAGACAGCAGCAATGGGAGGCCGTACAGGGACCCATGACAGATTACGGGCCTGGCAGCAGCATGAGGAGGCGGTACAGGGGCCCATGACAGATTACTGGGCCTGGCAGCAGCAATGGGAGGCCCGTAATCTGCCAGCACCCTATGACAAAATGGAACCCACCAGCAGTGTGAGGAGACCTGAAAGTGGCACATGGCAGAGTGTGGCGATGGAGACAGCAGCAATGGGAGGCCGTACAGGGACCCATGACACACTCTAGACCTGGCAGCAGCATGAGGAGGCGGTACAGGGGCCCATGGCAGATTACGGGCGTGGCAGCAGCAATGGGAGGCCGTAATCTGCCAGCACCCTATGACAAAATGGAACCCACCAGCAGTGTGAGGAGACCTGAAAGTGGCACATGGCAGAGTGTGGCGATGGATGACAGCAGCAATGGGAGGGCCGTACAGGTACCCATGACACACTCTAGACATGGCAGCAGCATGAGGAGGCGGTACAGGGGCCCATGGCAGATACGGGCCTGGCAGCAGCAATGGGAGGCCCGTAATCTGCCAGCACCCTATGACAAAATGGAACCCACCAGCAGTGTGAGGAGACCTGAAAGTGGCACATGGCAGAGTGTAGCGATGGAGACAGCAGCAATGGAGGCCGTACAGGGACCCATGAGACACTCTGGACCTGGCAGCAGCAAGAGGAAGCGGTACGGGGGCCCATGCATATTACGGGCCTGGCAGCAGGCAGCAATGGGAGGCCCGTAATCTGCCAGCACCCTATGACAAAATGGAACCCACCAGCAGTGTGAGGTGACCTGAAAGTGGCACATGGCACAGTGTGGCGATGGAGACAGCAAGCAATGGGAGGCCGTACAGGGACCCATGAGACACTTCTGACCTGGCAGCAGCATGAGGAGGCGGTACGGGGGCCCATGGCAGATTACGGCCTGGCAGCAGCAATGGGAGGCCCGTAATCTGCCAACACCCTATGACAAAATGGAACCCACCAGCAGTGTGAGAGAGGAGACCTGAAAGTGGCACATGGCAGAGTGTGGCGATGGAGACAGCAGCAATGGGAGGCCGTACAGGGACCCTGACACTCTGACCTGGCAGCAGCATGAGGAGGCGGTACGGGGGCCCATGGCAGATTACGGGCCTGGGCAGCAGCAATGGGAGGCGCCCGTAATCTGCCAGCACCCTATGACAAAATGGAACCCGCCAGCAGTGTGAGGAGACCTGAAAGTGGCACATGGCACAGTGTAGCGATGGAGACAGCAGCAATGGGAGGCCGTACAGGGACCCATGAGACACTCTGGACCTGGCAGCAGCATGAGGAGCGGTACGGGGGCCCATGGCAGATTACGGGCCTGGCAGCAGCAATGGGAGGCCCGTAATCTGCCAGCACCCTATGACAAAATGGAACCCACCAGCAGTGTGAGGAGACCTGAAAGTGGCACATGGCACAGTGTGGTGATGGAGACAGCAGCATGGGAGGCCGTACAGGGACCCATGAGACACTCTGGACCTGGCTAGCAGCATGAGGAGGCGGTCCGGGGGCCCATGGCAGATTACGGGCCTGGAAGCAGCAATGGGAGGCCCGTAATCTGCCAGCACCCTATGACAAAATGGAACCCATCAGCAGTGTGAGGAGACCTGAAAGTGGCACATGGCAGAGTGTGGCGATGGAGACAGCAGCAATGGGAGGCCGTACAGGGACCCATGAGACACTCTGGACCTGGCAGCAGCATGAGGAGGCGGTACGGGGGCCCATGGCAGATTACGGGCCTGGCAGCAGCAATGGGAGGCCCGTAATCTGAAAGCACCCTATGACAAAATGGAACCCACCAGCAGTGTGAGGAGACCTGAAAGTGGCACATGGCACAGTGTGGCGATGGAGACCAGCAAGGGAGGCCCGTAATCTGCCAGCCCCTATGACAAAAGAA